AAGAAGCAACGGATGGAAACTAATCAAGGACAGAAGCAACCTAGAACTAAGGAGAAACTTCCTGACAGTTAGAACAATTAACCAGTGGAACAACCTGCCTCCAGAAGCGGTGAATGCGCCAACACTGGAAGTTTTTAAGAAGAAACTGGACAGCCATTTGTCTGAAATGGTATAGGGTTTCCTGCCTGAGCAGGAGGTTGGACTAGATGACCTCCAAGGTCCCTTCCAACTTTATCATTATTATTATTATAAGACAGAGCTCCATTGACGAAAAAGACGAAAAAGTTCCATTCACATGACACACTTAACCTCTTTTGAATGAACCCATTTTCTAGGGTTTGCCCATTTAAACTATTACCTAAATAAGAGGGATGAATTAACATATTGTAACATACAAAACTAAACGCACACACAAAATAAAAGCTGACAGTAAACAAGCTAATCACGTGTGGCTGCATCTCTAGGTGTTTATCTGGTCTGGTTAACCTGGTTAAGGGAACAATGCTGTAGAGAAGAAATAGCAGACATTGATGCATTCCACACAAGGAAGGCTGAAAGGTTTGAGGACAGGTAGTCCTCAACAACCATAATCGAGCCTAAAATTTCCGTCGGTAAGCAAGAGAGTTAAGTGAATTTTGCCCCATTTTGTGACCTTTTTTGCCACAGCTATTAAGTGAATCCGTGCAGTTGTTGAGTTAGTGACGCGGTTGTTAATTGAACCTGGCTTCCCTATTGCCTTTGCTTGTTGCAAAAGGGGATCACATGACCTCGGGATACTGCAACCGTCATAAATATGAGTCAGTTGCCAAGCACATGACCGTGGGGCTGTAAGTGTGAAAAACGGTCATAAATCAGTTTTTTTTCATTGCCCTTGTAGCTTCAAATGGTCACTAAACAAATGATTGTAAGTCAAGGATTACCTGTATTGCATAAAGAATCAAGCAAAATAAATCTTCCTTAAGTTTTAGCCCAAGTAAGATTAGGAGGCCTCAAATGTGGGAAAACTGTGACTACCTCAAGACTTTGTTGAACTGTATGTCCCAGAATCCCTCAGTTTTGGCCCGGCAGATTGGAGCCACTGGGACTGAAAATTCAGCAATCAAAAAGACTCACGGCAATATTCTCTCCTTAAGCTTTTCACAATAGGATTTGGGTTTTTATAGAAAAGTCCACTACTTTGAATTCAAAGCAAGAAAATAGTAGACATAAGCATGCATGTGCTACAACTTTCCTTTTTTGCTCCATAATCCCAGGAAAGTCAACATTTGTTAAGCAGGCAGTGACAAAATACAAGGTGTTTTGTATTGTTTAGTTCATGGTTTAAATGGAATACAGATGGTATGTTCTTGGCACTTTATTTAAGAAAATTTATATTGCTGCCCAGTCACTCAAAATGACTTTGAGCTGTTCACAAAAATAAACTAATATACAATTAAAACAACAACCTACACACACACAGCTTCTTCAGTTCCAACTGATTTCCATATACCTGTCCTACAAATCCAGGAAAAGATGCAGCTTAAGGAGCCATTGGTGGGGGTGGGGGGGGCTGTATTCACAGAGATTCTGGAACTTTTTGGTTTTTGGGTTCAAAGCACTGCACTTAAGCTTCCATGTGTGTTATAAGTAGGAGTGTCCTCTTTAGCAGCTTTTACATCTTACTTCCATTGTTTTTTTGTGATTTGCCTCTTTTGGTGCAAAATTCTGAGTAAATTAAGAGATGTGTTTCTGCCTTGGTTCTCCTTGCTTGGGCTAGCACTTCCCCATCCTTGTCACTTAGATGTTGTTACATATTTTATGTTATATGTTATGAATATATCACATATAAGTTATGAATATAGAGGGCCTATAATACAACCAGTTAGCGTTTTCATGAACTCACTGGGTAACTCACGTTGCTGGAAAGTGTGTACTACTGATAAGGAAAGATTCTGAATGTGTGCATGAATGATTTATTGTTGGTGATACCAGGTAGAACATTATTGGGTGTAAAGAGCGTAGTGGATAGCACTTTTCATGAAGTCTTGGAACATAAAGTAAGAATGTAAAGTTCCTGACGTGATTGGGGCAGGATGTACCATATGCATGGATTGAGTAAACAAATTGGGTATAAAGAGAAGACTGGAATGAACCAACACCCCAAAGTTCAAGACGACTCTTGTTGGAGCAGGGGACGCCTGAGTCTGCTTCCCAGCCCACTCTGACACAGCCTGATCACCTGTGTTGAGAGTGTATTGTATAAATGAGTAGCCTAGTTGGGCAGCAATATTTACAGCAACTTGAGTAGCCTTGTTGGGCATTCT